CGCGTATTCCATTCAATTAATCGATTCTAAATAGAATAATTTTTGTTCAAGTATTTGTTGATTACAAGTAGTCGTAATAATAATATAGTACGAAAATACTAGAATACGATAGTTAAGTCCTTTATTTTACTTGTTTTTAAAAAACGTTGATTACTTAAAAAAATTAAAACTGTGATTTTTAATTGACTTCAAATACTGAAATTATGGTCCTTCCAATAAAATGAGCTTATTATATAACATCTTTTTGTAATAGAAGATCTTATCGATTAACTTAAATAATGAATACGCACGTCAACATATTATATGAACTTGCGACTGCCTTAATTAATTTTACTAGATGGTTTTCTGTTGGTAATTGATCAAATTGATGAATACCAAGACAAATGGAAATGTTACTGCTGACAAAATATGGTAAAATCTTATTAACCAGAGGAGGTTTATTTAATGACGGCCTCGTGTGAAATTTTTGTAATTTGTTTATTATTTCTCGGATTTCTAACTCTGCTACTCTGTACATTTGGATAGCACCTTAGGTGGAATAAACTAAACCACCTTCGTCCTCGAAAGCAATGAACTCATACGTATGACCAACTCCAGGTTTTTGTAAAGACAGCGCACTGTTAATTCTTTGCATTGTTTTTTTTTTTGTATTACTCATACTACACATCCGGCGATGTATGCCGGAATTATTTGCTCACTATATTCGGATATTTTAGCAAAAATTATCGAAATTACAGATACTACTGATACTAGACACTACAAAACTGAAAAGAAAACGAAACGTTATAATAACAAAAGAGTTATAGAATATTTTTATAATATTGCTAAGGTCGTAATAATTTCCGTCCCTTTGTTTTCAAAAGCGATCAGAATCGACAACAGTGTTGCCTAACGTATACATCACTAAATGTTACATTTGGCCAAAGAAAATTGTACAAGCGGCCATACCACGAAACTGAAAGCATTATACAAAAGTGCGTTCGTTCGATATTCATGACGTATTAACAAAGGATCACAAATATATGGCACCAAGTAAAAGGCGCAATGTATTACAAACATGAGGCATACACTCGGTTCCATATTTGTTTCCTCGAAATTCGTACAAAACCAAAATAATTGTTTTTAAAATAAATTATACATCTTCTGATAACAAAATCACTTGCCCGTTTACCAGTTTACCCACAGTTATGGTGTTTTTGCAGTTTGTAATGGCACAATTATGCATTTTTCGCGTTTTCGACTGGTGTGTATTTACGATAACGGTCGAGCGCGTTCTGAAGTGTACCAGCGGCAAATAAGTGAATTTCACTTACTTTGGGCACGCGAAGTACGCACACTTGCGGCGTCTATCTAGATATACGTCTGTGGTAGTGACCCGTTTAACTCTTGCAGGTTGATTCGATCCACCATACTTAAAATAAATATTGACAATAATAAATGTTTATATATTTACAAAGAGCAACCCCTATAATTTCTTACTCATTCCTCTCAGGGGAATCTGACTCACCAAGAAGTAGTAGAGATGTGACGATTTCAAGTGTAATTTGATTACCTATCAAATAAAGATTTTTGAGTTTATTTTGGTTGGTTGGACGAGAGATTGAGGCAAGTAACCATTGTCTTTTTCCATCTCCTTCGAGATGTAAATTTCTTTAGGACTAGTGGGATGAAATGCTAACAACGAAAAAGCCGATTAATAAATTACCGACTCATACCAATACTAAAACATCATCATAAAAACCATTCTTACGAATCAACACAATCAAATATTGAGAGCAAAAAGTGAATATAAAAAATGATATGGTTCATTATATGCCCAGTAACATTTCAAGGTAAATGAGATAAGCTCCTATGAGTCACTGAGAGAACGCGTGAGCTGAGCGCTAACGAAACCAAGTTCCATTTGATTAGCACGTGCTTCTAAAGGAGGAAAATACCTTTTTTATAAGTTCATTCATTATATGAATATTATTCTTTACATGACATATCAGGTACGGTATGTTGGATGCGCTAGTTGGAATCCAAGCGGATCGAAGGAATTTTTCTTAGTATTCGATGTTTGTATTAACAATGATAACAAACTATTGGAATAATTTCACAAAAAATAATTAAATGTCATGGTATTAAAACATCACGATATTCAATAAATTTAGTAATATAGAATTTTTGGAAAAAAAAATCGTTGCATGAAATACATTGACATATCGACTGTGAACCGGCAACCGGTACTATCTCAATTTTGACAACTTTACATTAACTTTACAGGTGAAGAAAAAAATGTTTGCGTCATTTATATACCATCTGGTTTTCCAAAATTAATCTATCGCGAGTCTTAATGTTTTCTTAAACGTGCATGAAGATCAAAACCAAACTTAAAGGTGCATTGTGTATTAAGGGCGGCAAATAAGGAATTACGAACGAGACTTTATTATAGAAGCCCGAAGTAGAAGACTGAGTGTTTTCGGAGTCGAGGTTAGTAATTCCCGTAACGTCCTTGAAACATACAATGTTTTTCAATGTTTTTTTTCTTCTCATTACAGCCATGGTCGGCAATGAGAAGAAAAAAGGCCCAAGGGTTTTATTTGGGGCATTATAGTCAAGTTAGCCTATATGCAACAATACTATTTACGCGCAAGTGTGATGAAAATAATCTTTATTTCATAGATAAGCAAAATCAAAACCGAACATTGTTAAGGTTTTCTTTTTTAGTAATGTCATGTTTCTGTGGTAACAAACCCAAACACAACTAAATTACTCTTAAAGATGACTAAGAGGATAGACAACAACTGATGTTTTAAATAAACGGTTCATGCCTAGTATACGTTGTACCGCGTACAAGATCTAATGATAAAGTTAAACATATGCCTAGCTTCGATATTTTTAAACATTAATTGCATAACACAGTGGCACTGATTTCCTGATCAAACAAGGGAATTTCTTTTACTATGAGTATTATATCAGAACAAACGCAAAGAAAATTTGTTCGATCTGTTTGGATTCGAAGATGAATCTGTTTGCTAGACCGGTGCTAAACGCTCTTCCAACAGATCTAAGGAACAAATCAACGGACCTTATGAATTTCTTTATGTGTTAGTTGCCGATCCTAATTTTTTTGATTTCGTTTCATTGTATTTGTTCGATGTGCTTATCAATAATAACACCAAAGTTGTGAAGTATTTTCACGATAAACTTTTTTATGAAGAAACAACCGACCTCACAATTTCGTGGAATTACATCTATTTGCCAAGTTATGTTGCAATCGGTTATAGGAAAGTGCGCAAAACCGGATTGTTCCCCTAATTTGCCACCCTTAGAGGTGTTTTAAATGGGACCAATACTGAGGTACTCTCGTTCCAACAAAAAAGGAATCATCAAAATCGGTTCACACATTTAGTTATCGCGTAACATAAATACAAAAAAACAACGGTCGAATTGAGAACATAATCCTTTTTTGAAGTCGGTTAAAAAATATACGAATATCGTGCTAATAAAACACGATATTCAATAAAATAAATATTCCGTTCTAAATTGGTCCTACCGGAAATAGAATCAGAGACATTCTTATCAAGCGCCGAGTGCTAAACGCTGAGGTACCAAGGTCGACAAGTTTATTTGAAGAGTATTCGTTGTTGTTATCGAGTGAGCAATAGGTAATTAGTAGTGTTGCATCGAATAGTATATTCGGTCTAACTATTCGGGTTGATTAACACATGTACGAAAATTAGCACGAAAAATACCATTTATTGACTGCAGTTATTAATAAATTATTTTGTATAATAAAACAATAAAGGGATTTAATTTTCAAGTTTGTAATTCAATTTACGTCATTTTAATCAAAAAAGTACTTACTTAACTGTACGTACTTAACGTTAATGTACTTAACTGTTTGTTTCTATTGAATATTGAATAAAAACTTAATTTTAATTAGGTTTTAAAAGTTGAGTTTGTTACCGTTTATTTAGTAATGATAAAAACTATATAATAAGCAAATGGGACATAATAAGTAGATTTGATTTACATTTTTTTTCTCTCACTATCTACTTTTTTTAATTTATTTTTTTATGATACCCTTCAAAACCGAAACACAGTAATGCTCGCTCACATTACTGCTTCACGGCGGAAATAGGTAAGGTGGCATTACTTCCCTGGATAAACTCTTTCACATGGAGGTCTACTGGTATTTATGTCACAATTCCTTTGATATTTTAGATAAGTAACGGAAAATTTTTGCTTTCACGAACTTACAAGTTCGCAGGTATCGAATACCGAATATTGTATTCGGTAGTAAAATATGAATACCGAATAAGAACTGTGTATTAGTTGCATCTCTAGTAATTAGTAACGTAATTATACTAATAATATGTTATGTATTTTGATGATTAGTTATTGTTTGACCGTCTTTGCTAACGTTCTTTTAACAGAATAAAGAGACGATTGCTCGTGTTTGTTGTATAGTGTACAGGTTGTTCTTCTGGAGCGATAGTTACAAGATACGTTAATTTTGTCTACATTTCATTCAAATTTTTAACTTGACGAATAACATGGCATAACGTGCTCTGATTGTATTGTACCTCCATTTATAGAAACTTTAGACATGAGTACAGTAAATAAGTTTCATAGGTTTGGACTCTGAAGTCATGTCGTCAAAAGTTGAAATTAAATTTTCGCGTCACAGTTTCAGGGTACAAAAGTAACAAACGCGCTATAAGGCTGGTTTCAGAGCAGTGCGGATTTATCTGCGGACAGCCAGTGTGGAGCACCGGAGCGGAATAACACGTGTGGTCTTAAAACATCGTTTTACAGTGACGCGGATTGACCTGCACTGATTGCGAACTCCGCACAAGCCACTCGTTCCTTGTACGCGAATGTCTTCCTTGAATATCCGCACTAAATTTAATACTCGATTTAGAGCATTGCGGATTCTACGCATGCTCTGAACCGCAGGCGGGCGTTCGTACGCACAGCTGTGAAACCAGCCTAAGTTAAAGAAAAAACCTTACCAAGAGTGCCTCCAGTGAAGTCCCTGTAAGTGAAGACGTAGGCTAGACAGAAGTCCTCGTGGTTGCCAAGCGAGTGGAGGTTCAGGAAGTTGGAGACATCGATATTTTCTAAACAGAACTGGTTCGTTTCACTCGCGAAATGGTGCGCGTTGCACATAGAGTCATCGTCGATCTGGAGAAAAAAAAACCGATAAACTTTTTAGGTTCCAAATGTCTAGTTTCAAAAAATGCCTTAGCCTAAAATGGTCTATAGACGCTTTTGGTTTCGGCTTCTTATAGCTAGCGTTATTATGTCTCAAATGAATGTGACTGCGTTAACATTAACTGTACCTTTACCTTCGTCTCTCGGTTATAGAGCCCATATAGAGTCCGGTGTCGTTGGCTCATAAACGCCAACCGGACTGACTTATTAATAATGATTTTCATATATACACATATACTGGTCTCCTTCCCTTAAATCAAGAGAATATATACCTTAATCCTCTGCACTTCAAATTTGATATTCCTATGTACCCGGCGGCCATCGAATCTGGTGTCGCGGTAGATGTAGTTGACGGCCGTCACGTGATGGGAGATCAGTGAGAGAATCTCCTCACGCGTCTTCATGTCCACTTCGGCTTTCTTCGACATGTCCCGGTGCTGGAATAGATAAGTAAACCACATCCCCATCAAGACTAATGATTTTTTTAAAGCAAAGATAAATGTATGATGGAACGAGCTCGCCCAGAAGAATAATAATAATAAGGTACACATCACACACTAGGAAAACCCTGTATAGCAGATGCCATGGACACACACACATAGACAATTACAAAGTTGCAGTAGAGCTCCTTGCAAAAGTTTGTCCAGAGAAGTACTGCCACCTTACCTATTTCTGCTGTCAAGCAGTAATGCTCACATTACTGCGGTCCGGTTTAGAAGGGTTAGGCCTAACTCACACTGGCTCAGAGTCGAAGCGTCGCGACGCGTCGACTTATATAGCATATTCATCTCTATTCTCCCACCATTAAGGTACAAATTTGTGTTATGCAAATATAGAATCGAGCGCGCCTTTGTGCATCAAGGCTTGGTTAAAGTCGAGTGGTTTCACGAGTCGTCGCGCGTCGCCGTGCGTTGTAGTTGAAAAACATACTAAAGATGATAGTGGACATACTAAAGATGACGAAAAGAGCTCAGGATGCCTGAACGAAATATTGACCAAGACCAAAATGATCATATGAGTAGTTTTAGGTGCACCTGTAATATATCCACTCATGTAAGAAAGTCCAAGAAATTTGAGATAAACATATTGTTACATATACATGTATAGGTCATGTATAGGTAGGTACATGTACTAACTTATACGGAAATTTTCTACATGCTCCAAAGTCAACATCATGGTATCTCAAGTTTCTGAATGTTAGGTAACATTGCATCAATAGCGTTTTTTTATTTTCGGAAAGTGCTCGAAATAAAAGTTTCAAATTTATGATTAAAATAAAACCAAACAAAGGGAGTGGGTGTTAAGTAAACACGTTAGTGGGTGTAGCTATAAATCAAACGTTAAAAACTAACAGTAGCGTCGTTGGCACAAGATAGTGGATTATCTCGTGAATGGCAATCACAACCCACTTCCGCGCTGCGTGTTCGCACGCCCAAATGCGAACTGATATGAAATATGTGCATTCCACGAATGTGTTTTTTGATACCAAATTTTGTACACAAATCGTAACATTTAGTGATAGGGTTCTTGTTTTCCCGATTGTTACACATTGGAAATGAAACTATTTTTTCGGATCTAAATCTAACATTTGATATAACAGGTTGGTGAGAGAACTATTGTCACCTTACCTAATTCTTGCCGCCAAGCAGTAATATGGGCATTACTGGCACATGGGACTTAACACTGGAGCGGACGGACATGGCAGTGCAACTGTTTGCCGGATGAACGAGCGCTTACCACCAGACCCACGACTTGTTCGTCCCATCACTTGGTTAACATAAAAAAATGTTCACCGATTGTCATTTGTCTGCTTTTCGAAGTTCGCAGCACAAAAATTACCCAAAATGCCTAATATTGATGATTTCTCTAATCTTTACAAGAAGAATGTGAACGTTTGTATACCACTTAACATTAACGTTCTATAATGGTTGTTTTAATATGTTACTGATATGACTAACTACTAGGTTTATACGAGTACGTTAAATTTATTAAATGTATAATGTACTGCCATCTGACTTATGGAACATTAAGGATATTGTGACTTAAAAAAGAAATGTATTTGAATACCTTGTTAACAAACATTTTACTCTATTGATGAATTTCTGAATCGTACTAAGTAATTTGATATTTTTAATTAATTGTATTAATCAAAACATTAATTGACATTTTAAATTGATAACTTCAAATTATTTATTTGTGGAATAATGTCAGGCATAATATTTGCTAAGAACTTACTACTAACTTACTGTAATGTCAACGGATTTCCATAGTTTAAGCAATTTCAAATCAATGGAAGAAGTGGAAGTAAAATAAATATTCATTTTATGACTGAAGCCCCAACTGAAAAAATAAAAAGAAAAGAGCTGAACAGATGTTCATCAAATATAGCTAAGAACTCTCTCGATAATTGGAAATGAAACTAGTTTTCCAATCATATTTCACCAAATTTATATCCAATCATGAATATTTGTTGTTTTTTCGAACAATCCAACTTTTCGAGATTTTTACCATGGTCAAGGCTGATTCGTATACAAGGTTTAGATTCGAAAATAAATAAAAATAGTTTCTTTTTCTTTGTGTAATAATCGCGACAGACAACAGCCCGATAGAGTTAACGTCCAAATTAAAAAAAAACCATACGATACGATGCCTCAGACTGATACTCTGACTGATACAGAAACATAAAGGCTTCAAATTTATTATAACTTCCCATTTTTTGCGTCGGGGTTAAATAATAACAATAAGTTTTATAATAATACTTACATCGGAGAAACCCTCTCTAACATGTCGCCAGAGCAGCGGGTCAGTTTGTATGTAGAGCGAGCAGGTGTTGCGGTTACTGTCGTCGCGAGCCGCTCGGCGCGACCGCGAATGTTCACCCGTGTTTGCTGCGCGCGAGTATTTGTTATGGTGCTCCCAATATCTGCATAGAATAGAATATATGTATATATAGAATATATATACATAGAACGAAATATGTTGATATGTATATGTTCAAACATATCGTGTCTAGCCTTTGCCGGTTGAGAAGTTCGAGTAATCGTACGGGTGTGACGTCATTTCGGTTCGGTTTCGAAGACGACAATTTGGCGTTCGACTCGGGTGTTGTGAATAAAGATGAAAGAAATCGTAAGATATCAAATGGAATCGGTCGACAACTGAGTTATCGCAAGGTTCTGAATAGACCTCCTGGTCAAAAATCCTACAAAAAAAGGCAAAGAGCCGAAATGATACCTAAAATTATGTATTATTTATTACACTTTAGAACTACGACAAAGCGGGGAAATCATAATCATATATCGTATCTCATAATCATCAACGTTTAAGCATTCTAAAAGTAGAGCATGTGGATTCTCTGTTCTAGTTATACACTAATAAGAAAATGAATGAAAAAATTGAAGCCCAAAAGGACAGTAGTCAATTTTATTTCTTTATATTTATTACAACTTAGTAATATGTTAAAAGAAATAAAAAGACTACGTTAATATTGCGCCGTCTTCGAGTCAAATAACGCCGACGAGACGTCTCGCATCCGTAATATCCTTGTCTCTTGTCCTTAATATTGAGAGGTTAGGACCTACTCAATAAGGTAAAGTATTCAGTTGTTAAATATACTGGAGACAAGAAGAAATCTCGTCGGATTTGGTACGGAATGAAGTTTCAAGTAAAACTCTTTCTGTCGGGTAACTACGTTTATTTTTTGTTGTGGAAAGAATTACATCACAATCGTACGGAATTTAAGGCAAATATTGTAGCTTTTTATCCAAATAAGGTTCGTTGCCTAAACGTAATCTCGTTTTCTCTTTGGCTAGTCTGAGAGCCCTGAAGATGTCCTTGTAGATGTTTATCATTCCTTGTCGTATCAGGAACTGTTTCAAATACGTAATGGTGTTCAATAGGTTCAACATTCTGAACTTCTCTGCAAAAATGTATGTGCACAAACAATTTACCTCACACTTTTGTGTTTCTTCAAACAGTATAAATTTACCAGAGAAACGGCACAACCTCCCGTTTCAAGAATTTGTGACGACACGGATGGAACAAACGTAAGAATAGTGAAGGAAAAGGGAATTCGAGAACAATTCAAAATTATAAAAATAAGTAGCCAGATACCAAAAAAAGGATGAAAAAAAAGTGTGGATGACTATGAAGGAGGTCAGCATCGTAACCGGGATATGAAACCGATGGAGGCACATCACCGACTTCAGAAGAAGTTAGGATATGCATGCTTCTCGTAGCTCTGAAAATACTTGGCTGATTTTACTAAAATACTTTGGTTTATTTTGGTTAAGTCACAATGATTTGGTGGCTTTTGTATTATTAGTCTCAACTATCAGTAACTGTTATTTTATGATATAAAAATCGAACAAACACAAAGAAAATTTCCTTCAATGCTGTAAGCTGTTTCCTTCAACCAGTGACTATTTGAGTAAATCGGAGCTATAATAAAAACGTCATGATAGTCAATAAAATAAATTTCAGTAACAGTTTAAAAAAGTTTTTACTTTACCTGGGCGGATCATCTCTAAGACTATTAGGGTGTGGCGGTGAGTGATGAGCAGACGACGGGGCGAGAGAAGGCACTGGTGACGTCACATCTTCTTCTATGCCAGAGTTCTGGATGCGCTCCATCCACTGCTCCACTTCGTCTGTGATCCCACAGCCTCCTACTGGACCTGACGAAAGAAATACGAAATCAAGTACATTTTGGATCAAGTCACATACATTAACATAGATAATAACAATGGAGACGTCGATTTTGGTGACATGTGAAAGAAATATATATACGTACTTAGGAATGTAACTTTTCTTAACGTATAACTTAAAAAAAGCATCTAGTTATATCCATTTGAAACTTGTTTTAGTTGTGTGTAAGGCGCCCTTCTTTCCCCTTGACAACTTTGATTATAAATTTTACACGCAACATCGGGTCAACCAGAACTCACGCTCCACAAGCCTCATGCTCACCCAGACCGACTGGAGCTGGCCATTACAGTGGCTTACAGCAGTGGTTTAACCTCTCGTTCATACGGCATTGCACAACACAATTTTTTGCAGTATTCGATGTGCGTTTGTATACGTATGCGTTTTTTTTTGCAGGACGAAAACCGTGTGAACGGTTCTATGTCTAATGTATGCGCCACTGTTTATTCGGTTCGGATTCATACTGCAAAAAAACGTGCAGTACAATGCCGTGTGAACGAGGATAGTCAGCGGTGAGCGTCTTTATTTTAAACGAGAGATAGGCTACATAAGCCTTGAGTATATCTGATTAACGAGTACATTTAGGCAACAACATTAGCGCTTCGAATACATAACCGCAGGTATGGGAAATTTTGAATTAAAGTTTGTGATAAAGTCATAATTTATTGTAAACTCTGCGACGTTCTCACGGGTATGTTCTATTCAATGTCCGTAGTGCGTACTTCCTTCGCATGTTGAGTTGAACTCAGTTGACCAAAAACATTGAACCTTTCCGACTCCGTGTCGTATGTGACGAACATGAATTAATGGAGATTAGGATCATTATCGTTGAACATAAGCGGCACACAATGCGAATATATGCATTGCCCTATACGTGATGGGAATACAATGAGTGGATTTAATTATAGTTATTATATTAACAGACATGCTAAAGCGTCTGAATAAAGAAAATAATCCCGCTCCACGGTGGCTCGGCCCCAGTCGACGGATGCAACCAATTTTATAAATAAAATCAATATGCGAACTACATTCCCGTCCCTGTAAAGGATGATGATATTCAGTATAATAAGAAAGACGTTTTAAATTATTCATGACAAATTCCAAGTTTTGCGGTGGGAGTTTGCGAGTAGGGGATGGGGGAAGAAAAATAACAGGACACAGCGGCGACCGCGGTCACCGGAGAAATAAATAGCGGAGCTCCTGACGCGGAACTGTTTCCTTGGCATTTCAGGGATTTATAGGGCTACACTGCGTCAACCACACATAAATTTAAATGTACAAAACTATTCCTGCCACTCCTGTTTGGCCAATTTGGAATACGAAAGAACGTCTCACTCTAAAGGAAACCTAAAGATGATGATAATTTAGACACTCACCGTTTATTTCAATATAATAATTTAGCTTATATATAGTCACACTGATGGACATAAGCCTCCTCTCACAATGAGAGGGTTTGTGGCAGTAATTCCACGCGGGCCCTATGCGGATTCGAAACTACACACACATAATTAAATCGCTTTGCAGATGTGTGCAGGTGATGTTTTCTTTTACCGAAAGCTCGTGGTGAATTTCAAATGAAATTTCGTACATACATTGGCAGTTGAATTGTAGCTCGATGGCTAGCCACTGACACCACTACTCTTAACTTTTCGCAGAATGCTGAACGTACATAATGCTACCATTGACACTTTATCGACACAAAACTGAGTAGATTTAAAATCACTAGATTTGAGGTCCGGGTACATGTCGGAGATATGACTGGATATTTTTTCGCAACTGTGACTTATGCACATTGGCGTCTCGTATCCGGCGTGTTGCATTTTAACGAGACTGCTAGCCATTGCTCCCTGGAGCCACGGTAAAGTTATATTTGCAGTGGGTATAGTTCATTATCCAGATTTAACTCGGAGGCACAAATACTTTCAATTCCGAAACTAGATACTTGCAATTGCGAGCCCACTAACCACGTACTCGTAACAAGTTATAAGAAATATAGTTATCAAGTATGGAGTTCAATGGTTCATTACTGTAATGGAGTATACGGCGACAGGGCCCAACACGTCAGCCAGATAACGGAAATTACCGCCTGGTGTATATCTCTAGGGTTAATGCCTGTGTCGCTCTATTCAATATTTACTCGAGGATTTTAGACGACAATTTATAATTACGGTTCTGTAAGCTTTTGTACGATATCTATAGGCATGTACTTATAAGCTACCTGTCTATATTTTGGTTGGGACTTCGGGCTGTTATAAATACGCCGCTTCCAAAGTGTGGTATGATCTTCCTCCGCCTGTGTATTTTGTCATTTCGTAGTTTCAGTAAGAAATGTTTTAATTGGTTATTGTCCAGGCAATCCATGGAGGTAGGAATTGTAGTGTAGTTGTATGTGGATAGTGCTGTGTGTAATAATAATGTGTATATATAACGATTAATGTGTGTGGTAAGTATTTAATAATTGGCATGAAATCTTAGAACTAGAATGATAATGTGTGTTAGTTCTTCTTCTTTTTATGGACAAGACAGCGTGTGGCAGAATATCAGCGGCGTTGTAAAACACTCCGCCATTATGCTGATGTACAGACCTTTTAATCTCATACTACTATAGTTGTTACTATTATAAACACTGTGTAGAGCTTATATTTACATTTTAACTTACTTATTAATGTGTTAAATAAAGGATTTTATTATGATTATGACTTTTTATTAACGAAGTTTTCCTGATTACTGTGTGACGGTTTTGTAATTTGATTTGGAACTGAAACAAGTTTTAATGTCGGCCTGTGGGCGGACTACACGCAAAGGCAGTGCTTTGCGTGTGCAATTCAATAACGCGTTCGCTATTGGGCTGCCACGGTAATGCAGCGTTGCAATGATCTTCACAGAGGCGTGGGCCAGCGCCAACGGCATCTTGAGCATGATAGCTGGCAGACTTGATTGAGACGCAGGCCACAGTGGTAAGGTACGTTTGAACAAAAGGTGTCATTATTATTTCATGGAGTACATTATATCATGGATTGTTTAACTATAATTTTAATCTGTAAATAATATAATCAATATGTATAATTTTCTTTTTAATGACGGGACGAAAAAGTCGTGTGTTGATGGTAAGCCTACATGCCTGTCCATAACAGCTGCAGTGCCACTCAGAGCTTTAAATCGCAAAGATCTGAGGGGCACTGCCACTGCGACTGTCACCCTGAGACATAAGTTGCCAAGTCCCATGTGCCTGTAATTTCACCAGCTCCTATACCCTTCAAAACCGGAACACAGTAACGTTGACATTACTGCTTGGCGGCAGAAATAGGTAAGGTGGCAGTATTACCCTGGATGACCTCTTTCACAAGGAGCTCTACTGCTACAAGAATTAGTAATATAATGTAATTTAATAACAATACATATGAACTATGCTGTCAGGGGGTCTACTTTCGTTCTCCGTCCGACATCGTGTCCGAAACAATTACAGTCAAACAACTAATACTCGATGAAATTAAAAGACGCATGATGCGAATGAAGCTTCATACTTGACATTGTCTTTTTCGAGTTTTACTTACTTGACGAATGACTTTCGGACGAATGTCGCTCGGAAAACTAGAATAGACCCTCTGAAGTGGATGAATGAATGTGTAGTACATAATCTCAGTACAGAGTACTAAAAAAACCGACCTCAAAAGTACGTGGAATTACATATAATTACCAAGTTTTATTGAAATCGGTTACCGGAAACTGAGCAAACCCGGATTCATCCCCTAGTTCGCCACTATACGGGATTTGACATAGGAGATAATAAAAATAGGTTCTCACTACTTATATTGAGAGAGAATAACGCCTTGAATTGGAGAATAGCAAAATCAACCATAAAAATAATTGCTCCTTATAATAAAATTTAGGCGCTATTTATAAAAATGAATCTTCATGCGTGAACAGCCACCCTTAGAGGTGGATGATTTTCTTCAAAATTAAATGGGACCACTATGGAGGTACCCCCTTTCGAACAAAAAAAGAATCATGAAAATCGATTCACAAATATCGGAGTTATCGCGTAACATACATACAAAACAAAAAGAAAGAAGTCGGTTAAAAATATTTTTAACTATTTATTACTTGATATATTTTTCACACGAGTAGTTAGCAATATTCAAACAAAGTCCGCAGTACCCACCGCACCTAATCCCGGCTTTGCCCAACAAGAATGGCAAGGGCAGTAAGACCGGCAAGTTTTAACAAAGGCCCACATGAAATATCGCTTTAATTATATATAAAGTTCAACATTCATTACATACATACGCTTCACGTCCTTTTCCCGGCGGGGTAGACAGAGACCACACCCTTGACATGCACTTCCTTAAGACGTCATTAGTAAATGTTCATTGGTTGAAAAAAGAAGATAGTCAATAAACCAAACCAAGTAACAAGACAGTCAACCGTGACCATGGGATCTGTAAAGGGCCCAAAACGTCGTTGGTTTGTTTGAAAAAATAAATATGCGCGATTTAAATCCGGAAAAATAGTTTCAGTTCCTAAAAGAAGATAGGTTTTTTTTTTACTTAATCGTCGCTTCGCAAAAGGACATTTAATTTCACAGTATAGGTAGACAACACGGATTTCCCGGAGGGATAGCCACGTGACGCATTATGTCTATTCCAGGAACTAACCAGACACTTTCTAACATATTACTTTTTTATAGCAAAATGATGGAAAGGCCCTAAGGTACCTGTGCTCTATCAGAGTAGGCGTTGTTTTTAGTAAAAAGAATTTCAGAAATTTCTACCTCGCATCCTGTGGACTATACGCGTAAACTAAACGTAAAATGTCAATAAAATAGAAATAGAATGAAACTCAGGGAAAGTAAGAAAGTTAGCAATATAGTTTTTGAAAAAAAAAAAAATTAAATATATTCCTAAGTGACGAAATGTTGTAGTGTACATTTATTATGATTAGAGACAATATTATTTAGCAAAGACAGTTTTAC